AAAGAAAAAGCCACAGCTGCAACAAAGTATGGTAATATTAATGAAAGCATATCTGGCACTCATTCAAATCTCTGCCTTCCTCAGTGCCGTGAAAAGAAAAATCGTTCCCCAGTGGAAATTCACCATTTTCACAGAAGTAGAATTACTCTTCTCTGTAAAAATGGGCTTTCATCATTTGCATTAAATGTAATTAAATAAAGTAATTAAATTGTTGCAGTAACTAGTGTATCTCTGCATGCTACTTGGCTCCAGGAATGCTCAGTACGTATTTGCAATCCAGACTGAAAAGAACTATACTCACAGCAGAGTTTTGCAATGTCATATCAGGCTAAAACGTTTGTCCAGGTTTTCAACAAACTTCACCAAATAAGTGGTGCAGAGATACATGAAAACAATCCTGCAGATGTGACTGTGAGGCATTACAGAATGGCAAGTAAAATTTAATAAAAAACTTTAAACAAACAGGTAGCAATATGTCCTTATAAAGGACACCAAATCAAAAATAAACAAGAACACAAGAAAACAAAAACAAAGCAATTTGTAAGTGATCTCTCCTACACAGAAGGATTAAATTTATTCCAGTGAATAAATAACTCTGTTGTCTTTTATAAACAATGTAAATGTAATAGCAATACAAAACGTTATTGATTCTTTAGTTTGCTATTTATAATGATGAAATCACAACTAAGTTGTATTTGGTACTGCAAGAGAGAGAGGCATTATTTGTAATAGTAACTACTGGAGCCAAACATCGTGGAACTTCATGGAAGGATACCTTTTGCTTGAAATGGCAGGCAGATAATTTAGGGTCTAACCTGCAAGTATGGTCCTAAAACTGTATTAATACCTTCATTTGGGAGGGGAGGACACCACATTTTACATGAACACTTTCTGTTACCTCCATATACTCAGCTTTGTCCCAGACTTTTCTAGAAAAGCTGCCATGAAACTATTTCCCCTCCTACTGCGCCCATCCTCCTAGACACACAGAACAAGAGGTTCTGTTCCCATTAAGTACATCTCTGTAATCCTTTCCGAGAAACACAAGCGATCTCCTGCACGCTTGGTCCTACCTGACCTACAGCTGCCGCCAGGCAAGCGCTGCGTCACCGCTGGCAAACACGCCGGCTCAAACCAACCACTCGTGGACTGGAGCGCCAAGGAGTCGTTTTTTCTCGGGTTGGCCTGTTCAACCTAATTCATGTCAGTTCCCGCAGATAAATACTTTTGTTGTTGTTAGTTAATTAAGCATTTTGCTAACAACCAAAAGGTTTTAGAAAGATATACCACATGGAAGTCATACGCATGCTACAGGATCTGAAAACTTTTACCTGTAGGTGAAACATGGGCAGGAACTGAGAAAAAATGATCTGTCTGGAGATTCCTGTGTGGTGAATTCTGCACAGCCACTTCCTCAGTGGAAGGGCACCCATCTCCTTAAAAGTCTGACAGCACCCAGAGGAGCTGCTGGTGACACTTGGCAGGGAACAGAGATACCATTTCATCCTATCGACATGTCACCTCGCTGCTTGAAGGTATCTAGGAAACAGTATGGTGACCCTGGCAATTCCTCTCCTCACTCTGTGGAGGCAGGCTTTCAGCAGAGCCACTTTGCTATTTACTAAACTAACAAAAAAAGAAACTCAAGAGAGCCCTGTACCTGCTCACTTTCACTCTGAATTAAACTGGTCCCAGCATCTCCAATCCTGAGCGACACAAGCGTCGGCACCCGTCTGTATTATCCCCTTTGTGAGCTGCCCCAGCTGAGCTGGGTCCCAGCCCTCCACGAATATCCCTCCATCCTACCGCATCTCGGATTTACTTGCACTTCCCTTCGGCTCCAAGCTGGATGAAATTAAATGCAGGTGCAGCCAGAGGACTAGCAGCAGTCACCGTGCAGCTCCCTGCAGAGGTCCAAAAGCAGCCAAGGGCTCCCTTATGTGGGAAAACTTAAGGTCACCTTAACTAGCAAAACACCCTGTTCCACTGTATCTACCTACAAACAGCTCACCAGGCTGACGTTCTATTCCAGAACAAAAGTGACTTTGACTTTTTACTTCACACTCTGATAATTATTCTGGAATGAAATGAGTTTTTATTCCAGAGTAGAGTTGCCCATCAGGGAATCACTGCAGCACGGATAACTGCATCAGAATAAGCTATGGCAGCGTACGAAAGAAAACTTCCCAGCGCAGAAAGCCTCACATCTCAGAAGCGCTGAGATGTTATCTCTGACCTACTTTGCTCAAAGTATGATAGACATATCTCCACACAGGCATCCAATTATGTGTTGAAATCAACAAGTACTTTTGTGCTACACAGAATTAGTACAAGGGAAAAAAGAGAGTAGAGGAGGACAATAGGTGGAAAGAAGCGTTCTTTTTGTAGCATTTGCAGTACAGGAATTGATTTCACAAACATGCTCATCCAAGCAATGTAGTTCATTCAGCAGACCGTCAACTCCCATCAAAGAGTCATTCTTAACTTAAAATCAGCATGCCCATAACAGCAACAAATGAACGGAAAAGAGCAGAATAGTTCTTTAGAAACAGCCCAGCTGTCTCATGCATCCCACACTCCCACATACAAATGTTTTCATTGAAGGGGAAAAAAGTGCCACCCCTGAAGCTGAATACCATGGTTAAAAATGGCCACCAAAACCTAACAACGTACCATGCAAACAGCGTAACCTAAGACACTGAGCACATTCCCAGAGATGATGACACCAAAAAAGGACCCTTCTGGAGTTCTTACAGTATTTTCAAAAGCAACTTTCCTAACAAAGGATTTTACAAGGCAATAAAACACTTTACTGGGTAATTAAATTCTTCTAAGTTGGCTTTTGCTAACTGCACAGTTTATTACAAGGACAGCTGTCCCCAGGGATTAACAAACTCTGGGCTGAATTTGAGAAACATTACTCTCTTTTTTTTGCTTCTCTGAAACCTTGTGAAATATTGAAAGGGTTTGAGAGACAAATTTAGAACAAATTGATTTAAGGAGTATAAATTAGTAAGTATTCCAGTAAGTGGTGTGGTGCAACATTACAGGAAAGGTCACTTTTACCTTAAGAGCACAGTTAATCTCACTTAAGTCAGAAAGTCCACTCTGGTGCAAACTGTTGCAAAATTTAGCTCAGTTAGTGCAGATATGAAATTTGTTATCATTTATGGGACAATAATGTCTGTTTCTGTCATCTGTGAAAACTACAACCTTGTTCAACTGACAATACAGAAGGTTCAGTATACAACTGTACCTCTGTACCATAAGATACTATTTCTTAGAACAGTTCTGTACTTTTGATAAGCTATTGAGTGGAAGGGGAAAGAGAGAAAAACTCTGTTTTCTCCGATTAAAAAATAATTTTAAAAAAATTAAAATTCTATGCTAAATCAAATTCTTAGGTCAGACTGGAAAGAAATTTAGTTTCATCTTAAAAATTTCCTTCCCAGACCCTGAGAAAAAGACAGTAAAGAGAGAGAAATATTACTAATGCTTTTAATATTTATTAGAAAAACGTAATTAAAATAATAATAACAGAAAAAATAATTCTCCATCTGAAATGACTTATGGTACCCTATCTGCTCGCAGAAGTGAGATAAAAAAGGACCATGATTAATGAAGCCTTAACATTTAATCAATGCAATTTCCAGTTTCCAACAATAAATTCTGTAGCTGTAACCACACGAAAAAATTCCACCAATAGCAAACTGGAAGTAGAGACTCTGAAACCTGCACTTCTCACAGCATGATTCATTAGTCCAGTAAATACCTGATCTAAAGATGCGACCACCAACTGAAAATGAAATAATAGGGCAGATGAAAAGCATAGCATGTGCAGTATACTTGATAGAGAACAGAATTGAATGATGGATTATGTTTTTTGTTTGTTTAAGACTAGGATACTGGTTGGTTTGGGTTTTTTCCAGACATAGATTCACAAAGGCATCTTAGGTTTTGGATTTTACACATTGAACCTTAAGTACTCTGCCTCCTAGCAGTATTCCCAACCTGAAAACAGCCAGCAGCATTCCCAGTGCCCGCAGATTTCAGCTCATGCCCTCTACACTATTTTTTTTCTTGTACTAATTCTGTGTAGCACATACCCATCAAAACCCAGGGCAGGAAGCCTTATGCTTATTGAGGCTTATGAATCAAATTTGTCTTAATCATCTACAAAACAAGAGAATTTGAAAATTACTGTTCTCTATAACACTCCGGCAGCCTGGAATGAGATCTACAAGAGACACAATATTGATCAAGGGTTACCCAAGCTTCCCTCTAGGAAATCCTGAGGAAAAGTGTGCACCTACCATCACTAGGAAGCCCACAAGCATGTTCCATATGGGCACAGAACTGAATAACGACTCACTTCCTTAGGATTTATTTCTGACGATTACATTCTCTGAAGTCTAACAATACAGAAATGTCATTCACATTTTTTTCTTAAGGTTGTGATACCTAAAGCACCTCTGTCCTTTCTGGATTCTGTAACCTTTAATAAGAAAGCGTAGACCATGTTGTACAAGCTTGAAATGTTCTTCTGTATCTACTCACCTATTTTAGTGAACCTTGCAGAAACACAGTATCTTTGAAATTAATGTATTCAAATTTAGCTGAAATTAGTTAACAGGTATCAGATTTATCAACTCTGTCAAGCTTAAGCAAAATTATGTACAGAGAAATATATAGAGTGGAACAGCGTAAGCTTTACTTCAGTAGGAACCAAGGCTGAAGACACTTAAATATTCATGGCAGAAGGGACAAGCCGCGCTCTCTTCCCCACAGTGCTGAAATGGCGGGTGGTTACCTCGCTCCCTCCTGTTAGGCTAGCGTTGCAAGTTCAGATGGTTTTGTCCCCAAACACAAGTGAAGGATATCAATTATTTACTAAAAAAGCCAAAACAACAACCTTTGTTCTCATTAGCATAAGCTTAACATGGAGAGCATCATACTATGACCTGTAGTAAATATACATGCAATAGATCATATTCATATACCATGATATATGGTGCTGCTGTTGCTGTTAAGATACGATTCAACCAACGGTGCTTGTTCTTCGGAATGTTTCGTCCTGCGCGTTCTTGTACGACTGTCCACATTGGACTGAACCATTAATGGCTCCTGGCGCTTTTTCTTCTGCTTCTGTTCTAGCAATGCTCGCTGAGGAAAACACAGAGAAAAGCATCTGTTACGGGACTCCAAACAGTAGCAATCTCTGACAAAAAACCATGGATATCTTTACACCTTCTCCAGTTTTCCTGTGGCAGCAGTTGGCAAGTGGGATATTGGGTTATAGGAAATCTTTCAAAAAAATTAAAAAAACCCCCACAAACCCCAACCAACCCACTGCTAAAACACCTTCTGCTGAAAACATCACATAATTAAAACAGATCTTTCTGAGCAGTCTACCAGCTATCAGAGCTTGTTTGGAAATAACCCTTGGGAAAACAACAGTGTGAGAGCAGTGGCTGTGAAGCAACGGGAGGGTAAGCAAGGGCATGAGGCAGAGGTGCCAATTTAAGTTCCTGTAAATTAAAATCAGGTACTTTACAATCTAGAATCAAGTGATAATGCTGGACATGAGCCTAATTTAACAACTATACAAGATGAACTTTAATTAAACACTTGAATTTCTCAACTAAACCTGCTGAAAATCAAAACCTTCAGCATCTGATGGCACCACAGGCACCTCTCTCTTTGAGCCCTCTTCCACAACCTCAGAGAACTGAACTGTTAATTTTACTTATCCATTACCTTACCATTTCCCTGCTCCTGCAAGAGTGATTTTTTTTTTGTGTGTGTGTGTTTAGAAAGGAGATACACTAAAACTGAAGAAGAAGAATGAAAATTGGACTCTTTCAGCTCCATAAGTTGCGTGGAACACCTCAACGTGACTTCAAAACGATCAGAATCTAGTGCAAGATTATGGCATAAACAGAAAGTATTTGAACTTGAAAATGAGATGCTGATAGACATGGGAGAAGAAATGAATAGAACAACATAAAATTAAACTCACAAGGTTTAACTATAAACATGACAAAGTTTCGTGAAAAGGGGACCACAGAAAAATCAATGGAAAAGTGGAAACCTCAAACACCATTAAAACTTGATGGCAAAATTCCCTAAGATTTCATAGAAGAGATTCCGAATCATTTTCTTGTACAAGTCATGCAGGAATACAGTAGCAAAATCAGCAACATAGCACATAATACCACTAGTTCACAGCCACAAGGGCTAAATCCGTGGAACTAAAAAGAGAAGATGTAAAAAACTTTGTGGTAAACCGCTGTTGGCTGGCATGTCTGCCAGAACCTTCTGTCCTTTCTGGTCCATCAGAGGGGTAACAAATACACTGTAAGTCAGCTTAAAACAAACCCAAGGCAGTGGAAAATGATAATCACTCAAACCACAACCATATGAAAAAGTTCAATGCAAGTTATACTTCTAAGTAAGCCGTAACCTCCACAGACCTCTCTTTTGCATTCCCAAATCAGAGGATGTAATTTTCTATCAATTACCAGATATATGTCGATGATTTCATTACTCCAAGATCTAAACTACAGAGAGCAAGAAGGTCACCCTGCGAAATCTTACCTGTCTGTCAAGCTTCTGCTGACGCAGGCTGCTCCCCTCATCGTCCAGAACACTGCAAAAACAAAGGGTACGTAATTGGAACAAATTTATCACTCAAAACAACACCTAACGGCAATCACTGGAGCAAACTCTTGCAGGAGTTATTCGTATAAAACTCCCACTATGATCCACGGAAGTTTTCCTGCCCTAACCTGCAAAAGTTGACTTGAGAATTTAAACGCAGTTCATGAAAAACTGAAAAAACTCTGGTCCACATAATCCTCAATAAAAATATACATTCAGCCAGTTCACAAAGAAATGCAAACTCCGTGGTCTACAGCTTGCGTTCTTCTCCACTGTCTTCTAATGCAAAAGGTCAATGTATACAGCAGGGCTTTGATTGAAAATTTGCATATAAAGCATATAAAAAGTGAGGAGTGTAAGACAGCTGCTTATCAACTCAGCAGTATTTGAAATTACCTTCAGAAAATTAATCGTCTAATCTTTTGCACACTGAAAACCAGAATTTATTCCTGAATATCTGAAAAGTCACACCGATTGCCATGCACTTCAGCTTTCGGAGACTGGCAAGACAAACAGTATCGTGCGCTTCCATATTTCTGTCAGCTAATTGTTGCTAGTTGGGAGATTAACTCCTGCACATTTAATAATTTTCATTAATTAGATGTTAAAAACTAAACTGCATTGAAATCAGAAAATTATTTTTGTGAAGTATTTTATCCAACTACTGACTACACTTTATTTTTCTGGAGAACAAAGGTCTCTATTGTAAGAACATTATGGTTAAGCATTGAACATAGATAATTAAATCTGTTAAACTGTAATGTATCATCTACGAGGAAAATAGTGCTATAGAACAAAAAAAATAGCCTCTTGCAAGTAGAATCCATTTTTTCTTACAGCACATTTTTATAAAAGATTAGTCCCTTTTTTAATAATGACTCTTAACAATCAAAAAAGCAAAAATCTAGGACAAACGAACCTGGATTCTGACCTACATACAACCAAAGTGTATTGCAACGGAAATGTCATAAAAACTGTGACTTCCCATGTATTAATATATATTCTTTAGGAGACAGTAACATTATAGTAGAGTTAGATCGGACAGCTAATAAAGGCGTGCAGCATGCCCCCTTTTCAGTGCCAGCATCATCAAAGACCTAAACTAGGCATTATTGGTAGCAATCACCTTTTGTAATTTACACACAGGTTATATGTTCCAAAAGGCAGATGTTCCACAGAATGAAACTATACTGGACAAGTATCTTAAGTATGAAATTACAGTCTCTTGTAGAGGTAACAGGTTACTCATAGTCAAAAGAAAAAAAAAAAAAAGGAAAATCCCTCACATTCACAAAAATGTTCTGCTTCACACCATGTATTCTTTGTTTGATAAATTATGGAAAAAAGTTATAAAAAGAAGACACACATTCCTCCATGGTATACAATATCAGGTCTTTTTCAAGAGTGCTTGACTACAACTGCAATACATATTAGCTGCACTGCTAGAAAGTAAAACTACCCAAACAGGTATCTTTGGTCAAAGAATTGAATAGAAGATGCCTAAGTATAAAGTTTCAGGCTTAATGGCCCGAGCAAATCCACCTCATTTCAGACAATGCTTGAAAAAAGCCAAAACCAGGTAATGATGCTAATACGGACCATAAGAACTGCAGAGGCAGCAACGCATCTTCAGCCATGCTACCCAGAGAGCTCAGGAGCCACTACTGCTCCACTCCAGCAGTCGTTTGCAGAGTTAAGGAGAAAACTCTGATCTCTTCTCTCGTCATCTGCTTTATAAATCAGACCGTGCTGACTCCCTCAGACAGGTTACATGAGCTGTATATAGACTTCTCAGGAATTCCCATAAACCAGCATTTCAGTAATTATCTTTATGTGAATATAACGGGTTTTGGTATTATGCTGGATTGGCTATAATTCTAAATTCTGTATCACAGACAAGGTGTCTAAGCACTCTGGATGACTCTAGCTTTCCCTGCTTTGCCATCACACCATATCCTGGCATAACACACCGCACAGAACAAGGGAGCGGGGAAATGTCCTCGGTTGGGTTCTAAACCTTACCTGTGACTCCCTGAGAAGCCACAACAAGTCCAGAGAGGTTGTGGAGGCCCCATCCCTGGAAGTGTTTAAGACCAGGTTGGATGGGGCTTTGGGCAACCTGGTCTAGTGGAGGGTGTCCCCGCCCCTGGCAGGGGGGTTGGAACTAGATGATCTTTAAGGTCCCTTCCAACCCAAACCATTCCATGATTCTATAAATTCAGGATCAGGTAAACAAGCACAGCTCCCTCAGGTCTCTTTACACCCAACCTTACCACAGTAAATGCGGCAGTTTAAGTAACACCACAGCAAACACCAGTCAGAGGAAGAGTGTGATTTGCACTGATTCAGCACGCCACGAATGCAAAGCAACTATCAGACACACCAAGGGGCTGCCAAAAAAATGAACCTCCATCCAAAAACTGTGGATGCTGTAATGCTAAAACACCTCTCCATATTGCCCTTCTACTGCAAGACGTTGTTTTTAAAGCCTCCGAATATATGCAATCAAAGCTGACACCAAAAGCAGCACATCTTAAAAACCAGCTGACAAGCTTGTCTGGAACTTCCAGGTCCTTCATTCTCTCACTTCATATTTTATAAAGTTCTGGGTTGTTTTCCACAATCCTTTTGTAAATATGCATTAGCTACAAGCCTTGCATTATTTAAGCCGTAACATTCAACAACTAAAATTGCACTCCAGCTCTCTTCACTGATACCGAGGGTCAGCAGAACACAATTATTTCAACAATTCTCTCCCCCTCCAGATTACTGGACTTGCACTGAAAGGCCTTACTCCCACCAGACAGACACACCACTCTTCTGAATCCTTCACAGTGTAAAAAAGGCCTTAAAAGCGATGTCATTACCACCAACTCTGTCCATTTTAACAGTTACTCAAGGCCAGCATCAGTGAAAAGCTGCAGTTCTGCCCTTTCTTGATGCCTAAATAATCGTTACGCAAGTCCAAATAAAAAGAGGGTCCAATTTAGCCTATATATTCTTCTGCTAGAAAAGCAGAGCACTCCAGTTGGACTGTGTACTTTGTTAATATTTTCTACAGGACTAGTGGACCTTGGAGTTGCTGATCAGCAGCCAATATTTCACATTCCCTCATTTTCAATGGGAGAACTCTCCTGACATTGGGTAACTCCCAAGATTTGCCATTAAGGGCCATCAGGTTATTAATAAATAAATAAATAAAATTAGCTTTGTTTCCATAGCAATTCTATCAGGCCCTCACTCTTGCTGCCTTAAAAAACATCTGCAGCAGAATCTGAGATGTGTGTTACCACCACTGATCCTTTGGACCCCTTCTCACACTTCAACGCAGCCTTGCAGAACAAGGCAGCAGATGATCTTGCCATGGCATCTGGCAGACCATGCACTCTGGCAGATGCTCCAGGGTTCAAAGCTGAAATGCAGAGAATCTTCCCTTTATTTCTTTGGCAAACACA